AAATCGGCGTTTTGAAGAAATTTACAGATTTCTCAATCTCAAGCATTTAGAGTTGGTCATCTCACTCAAGTCCACCTGGTGGGCACATGTCATGCGGATACACCTCAAAGGCCATAGCTACACGAGACCTACAATTGTGCGAGAATGGAATCACTGCACGCCTTAGCTACCCTCCCGGAATCACACGTATGCTCCAGTACCGCTACCTTCCCAGACATTTGTGCTGAAGTCTTTGCCTCCTGACTGCTATACTCGGGATTGCCAGTGCATCTGAAATATTTCAGGACAACTTCCAGTGGCATCAATTATGCCACATCATTGTTGGCGCATTTAAATAAAAGATTCTTGTAGAAATGAAACAGAAAGACACGCCTATTCATTCCCCTCATGATCCCACTTGTTTGTGTTTTGATGAATTTTAATCCTTAATCAGCTTAATGTCCTCATACGGTTGGTCAGTGCACAGAAATAAGGTGACAAATACTCGCGCATGAACTGGTCTGCCATCACTTGGATCGGGTACCTCATCCCTTACCCACACATACACAGTTGGCTGACCGAAATGCCTTCATAATGGAAGAAGAATGTGGAGTGGTATGACGATTGTGTGTGACACTATTTCATTCAAACCCTATACTTCGTGGCTCCTCTCCTCCAAACGGAGAGATAGAGGGATGCAATGAATCAGTGAACTGTTTTAAATTTCATTGGTTTTTAAGCATTTAGGTAAAAAATTAAGACAATTTAATAAGTTATCTTTTTAAAGAGTGGCATACATTTCAGTGACACGACTTATTTCTCGACTCCATAGGCATTTTAGGCCATGCTGACCCAGAGGCAAAGCGGAAAGTACAAAAAGAAGGACAAGGTAACTATAAAAATGCGTGTACCAGGTAGCTCTTGCCTTCCTCTCCCTCCTTCTCTCTATCTTCATCTGCTTTGCACCTGCCATTTAGAGAGGAAAAAATATAAACACGTTTAGGCTTTACTGCTTGCTTTCGGGTTAAGCAATGAAGGTCTTTAGGCATCACTCAATTTGCGTAGAGAT